TCGAGACCCTGCATATTATTTTTGGGACGCACATGCGTGGTAATTCGAATCATTTTGACAAATTTGGATTAAAGAGGAAGTCCTACTTTTATTAATGAACTTAGCCTGGAAAAATTCGATCAAAATATATGGTACATTTAGGAGGAGCATTACTTGGGAACGCGTATGAGCGTTATTTTGAGTTAAAAAAACACTTTTCAAAAAAATGAGAGTTTCGAAATAACACCCATGTGCGTTATTACGCGCCAATACGGTATCAATTTATTGCATGAAATATAGATCTAAGTTGCATGAATTAAATTCAATATATGACACAATAATCATGTGAACGTGACCTCGAGGTCACAAGCATAAGACTTGGTAATATACTAGAATTTCGGAAAGTAAAGGATTCTATTCATATTCGATGTTAAAAGTAATCAATTTTGAAACAAACCAACTTTATTATTTTTTTAAGACCAAGTTGGTATTATGCAAAGATCATTCCTACAGTATCTAATCCAATCCTTCTATCTGAAAATTTCATTCCTTCAATTCACACCATTACAATTATATTCAGTTGTTACCTCAAGGACATCATTCATATTTGCAATATCATTATCAAACTTGAAGACAACCTTAGGCCTCTCTAAAAACTGTTTTAGCCCGTCTTCCTCCTCGTTCTCATGTTGTCCCGGAAGTTAATTCGCAAAGCAATAGGGTTGGTGTCTCTAACAAGTGCGGTTTCAATAATATTAATAGCATTAAGTAATGTTGTTGGACATTGCATAACTTTCTTATCATTTGATAGCTAATAGAAGATCCACTCATCCATCAGATCGGTAAGAACTATAAAAACTGGAAATTGTGAAATAATATTGGCGATGAGAAGTTTACCGGTAGCTTGATAAACGTGAGTGTCTTGAATTTTCTTTTTGATTACAAATCCGACATGTATTCCATTACGCAAATCATGAGCTTTAGCAGAGAGTTTGTCCGCGATTACCACATCTGTCGTTCCACTTACGATGAAAGGAAGCGCTTCATCATTTAAGGATAAAAGGTCTTTCTTGGATCTGGGATCATACCAATCAATTTCAGAAGTAAGAGTGATGATGCTCTTTAAGTATGACAAATATCCTTGCCGAGCTACCCCATAATCTCCCATCTGATCTTGTGCATGTTGATCTTCTGTTTGACTAGGATCCCAGTAAAAGGGTGCAACAGATTTTTGTGTCGGGGCCATATTGATTTTAATTGTATTTTTAACAAGGCCGAAGCGATTGAGCATCTCATCCAACTCAAATTGACCCATTTTTGAAAGAGAAACTTTCGGTTTTTTTAATATTCCTCTAAAATAAAATAAATAAGGAAACGGAAAATATATGAAGAAATGCACAGCAGAGACTTACTTATCAATGTATTGGGTGAATTGTTGGATCGTCATATCGATTATTTGTTTTATTGATGATTCAGACTGAAATTCTGTCAGCATTAAGAATATGTAGTAAATCAGTATGAACTTCGCCTCAAATATATTTACACTTCCATTCGCCAAATTTTCATTTAATTAACAAGAGATATATTTATTCTCGAGATTATTTCCTCCGCTTACCAGCAGAATTAGGAGGTATTTCAACAATTATGTGAATATGTTCACTAGAGAGTGTGGGGAATTTCTTCCCAATCGAATCCAGGGGGTTCAATATCTGGCCGCCAAATACATTTGTAATGTCTGCATTGCGGTCACCGAGAGCGGCTCGTTGAAGGTTTTCTGTGGTAAGATCAATACTAACCATCCATAATTTTAGGTATTTTGACGCCTTTGATTTTCCGTGATAGCACGGCTGAGGTCGGAAACATTCTGACTTTTGTTTATCTCGACTGAAAAAGCAGAAAATCCAGGATCACCGTGAATTAGACAGTTTAGTCTTAACGGTTGCACCTTTTTAGGTGGCATGATTATGATCGATTCAAGAAGCAAATTTTGAATCTGTGCCTGGTTTGTTGAATATCTACCTAAACATAACCAATCAGATCGCAACTTTATTTGCGTCGATCCTTTTAATTTCTAGCGATGATTTCGTAGTAAAAAAAAATTTATTTTAATTCTATATATTTGTAGAATTAATTTGGTTTTATGGTTGTTGAGAAATCTTCAGTAAATTTTAAAAAAATCTTACGGGAAAAAATCAAGTAAAATTTTCTTTTTATCGTTACTTTACGAGTGTACTGTATATAAATTTTTATCGAATTTATATGAATAATTGCCGAGAAATAATCATTAAAAATTAAGAAAGAAATTTGCGCAGTTTTTATTTTATAAATACTTAAGCATTGAACGAAGATTACTCGATACATGCATGCTCAAATTTGATCAATTTTTTTTTTTTTTACTTTAATTATATAGAATCGTAGAATTAAAATAAAAAAAAAATTGACCAAATTTGAGCATGTGTGTATGTATCGATTAATCTCGTTCAAAATTTAAGTATTTATAAAATAAAGCTGCGGCGAATTTTTTTCTTAAAATATACTTGACAACTATTCATATAAATTGATAAAACTTTTTTTAAAATTTTAAAAGCTTATAGGATTAAAATAAAAAATTTTTATTGAATTTGGATGAATGAATAGTTGAGAAATTTTTGTTAAAATTTAACTAAGGCCATACAAATTTAATTACTTGGTTTTCATAACAAAAAACTTTTAAATTGACCGGCTGGCCGGCTTTTTTTAAAAAAAATTTCATATAAAAAATTTATAAAATTTATATAAAAATTTTTTTTTTAAACCCCACCCGGTTATTAAAACATATAAAAAAATTTTTTTTGAAGTTCTCAAATTTTGACCCGGCCGGGTTATGAAAACCAATTAATTAATTTTGCATGGCCTAATAAATTTTTTATAAATTTTTAAAAATTTTTTTTTTACATTAAAAACTTTAAGCGAAATAACAGCGAATTCCGGAAATCATAATTATAATCCATCGAATTTAGTTGCTCGAATGTTTAA